GTCTCCATAATTATTTGCACAAATCCTTTGAAGCTGTCGCTGAGCTGATTGAGCAGCGCAGTGTACATTCGTTTCTGCTCCTGCAAGTCCGCTGCAAAATTCTCTTCTTCGACATCCTCAGATGCTTCAGATTTATTTGCTCTTTTCCCTTTAGGAGCCATCTCAAAAGATGTAGACTTTTCCAAAAACTTGAAGGTGTAGAAGATATGAAACAGATATGAAAATCCCAGAACAGACAAGAGGAGCAGAAAAAACGTCCGCTCTCGCTTGCAACCCGGAAGCAAGAAATTAATACTGTGGGTAAAAATAAATGAAAACATTAAACAAAAAAGAACATTAAAGTGTTGTTGTAGACTGATAATATAGCAAATAAAGCAGGGTTTCGGGGATTTTGTGAACAGCCACTAATGTCTACAGTGTGACAAACATGCAAAAAGATAAGAAATCAGTAAGGGGGCAAACACTTTTTCACACCACTGTATGTGGAAAAACTGCACTTTACAATAGATGAGAGCTTCTCTGCCATCATTACCACCACCACCATCATCATTATCATCGTCATCATGAGTGGATAATTCATGCAGCCTAGATGAAGCACAATATACATCAGTTGCTCTGTCAAATATCAGAACACTACCCAGCTATTCACATAGCAAAAATGCCACTCACTGGAAACTGTACTGTCATTGTCACCAGCAGGCACCATAACAAAACTCCTGTGCCTCACTTTATAAAGGCTACATGTCAGAACAATGGCAGAAAAAAAACTCTAGGAAAATACAGACTATATTAAATTATAACATTTACACAGTCTTGGGTTTGGTTCATGTATAAATGTTTTAAATTTGGCTGATTAACTTATTTCCATCCATCCATCCATCCATTTTCTTCCGCTTATCCGGGGCCGGGTTGCGGGGGCAGTAGTCTAAGCAAAAATGCCCAGACCTCCCTCTCTCCAGACACTTCCTCCAGCTCCTCCGGGGGAATGCCGGGGCGTTCCCAGGCCAGCCGAGAGACATAGTCCCTCCAGCGTGTCCTGGGTCTTCCCCGGGGCCTCTTCCCCCTCCTTGAA